AAGAAGTCTGCTGCTAGCATTCGAGCTCGGATTTTCCGGGCCTTTGCCTCGGCCGGGTTCCATGGGGGGGCTTGCCAGGGATACAAGCTGGTGGCGGCATGGCCCAAGGGGGAGGTCAGCAAACAGGCGCCGGAGAGTCGGAGAGGAGTTCTTCGGCTGGGCTTTTTCGGAGAATGGGACTCCAATTAACAAGCAAAGGTTCTGGTTGCTGTTTTGCTTGGAGGACCATTCTCGAGGGAATCCATCCCCCAGACGTCTTGTTTTTGCACATGGTCCTTCAAGCCCCTGGTTGCCGGTTTTTGTGGAGGGGAATGTGGAGGACCATTCTCGAGGGAATCCGTTTTTCCAAAAGTCTTGCTTTTTGGACATGTGCTCAAAACGCGGTCCTTCAACTGAAGGGCTCCAGATCACGGCAAGCCACAAGCTTCGATCAGGTTTACCGGCCAATAGCCTTGGGTTGAAAATGTCCCGAGGCGAGGTCTTTTGCACAGACTTGCGGCCAAGGAGCCTCCGAAGCTCGGTTCCCGTCAGTATAATCGAATGGGGAAACCAAATACATCGAACGCACGCGAGCTGGATGCTTAACAACCTGTTTCCCTTCGACAGCGGTGAAGGGGTTGAAAGGGGGGAGGGGAATGCAAGGGCAGTGATCGGAGATTGGGTTGCGAAAGAGCAGGCTTTTTCGACGTAAAAGGTGGTCAATGGCAGCTGCATACGTAAGAGTTGCACAGGAATTTCCGGGGAACCCGCTCATTGATGTCGGTTCGCAGACGTCATTTAGCAAGTAAAATTCTGCGAGGCACCACTTTTTCCACTTGGAACCATCCCTCCAGGGCAGGTTGAGCATCACGTTTGGCCAGTTGTCTCCGCTCGCAAATACTCTGGATTTGTGTTTGCTTGCCAGTGGCGCCTTTACCAAAGTCCATCCCCTCGTGGCGCATCCTAAAGGTTTCGCAAGGGGTCCCTTTGCCCAAGGTCCCGACAAAGAATTTGTTGGTTGCCCCTTGGACGCGGGGAATGCTTGGCTTTGGATGCACTGGCAAAAATCGATTTTAAATCCAACGCCTGGTGCTGGCGCTGTTTGGTAGAGTGTGATATGAAAGGGTGGCAGCGCTCTGCCGTTTCGCACCCCACCAGGTTGCCATGGAATTCTTCGACACGCTGCTTTCCAGCATTTAGCCCCGCGCTTCTCTGATGACTGCCGTGCGCGCTTGAGAGATGATGACTGGCAGCTTCTTTCAGCAGCCGAATTGTTTGACCATTCAGCAGCCAGACTGGCCTTGGCAAAGGGAGACGGGCGAAGTGATGGTAATTCTGAACATTTCGGATTTACCCCCGGGCAGCTTCCATTCATCAACAAAATCCGCCTAACATAAACTCATTCCCGCTAGTCGGGTTTCCAGCCCTGTGAAGCCTTGCGGAGGCCCTGGACGCCCTGCATATGGGAAAGAGACTAGCCAGAAAGCTTGCTAGTGCTCAGCAGGAAATGAGGAGGGAATCCCCATCTGAGCAACAGCAAGAAGAGTGGGTGTCTAGGGACGGTTGATGTGATTGTGATATTGATGTGGCTTTGCTTTGACTTTTCAGTTTTTACGGTGCCATTGGTAGCTGGTCCTCGAAGAGTCGTGGCCCCGAACAGCAAGCCGTTATTGCCAGGCTTGATGGGTCAGCCAAGGGGTCCACCTTGGCCGTAAAGTGCAGTACTGAATTTGCTGTGCAAAAATTGGTGGATGGGTTCAGCAAGTTGTGGTGTTCCGGTTGGCTTCCCTTTATTTCAAAGGGTACGCACACCAAAAAATCAAAAACAAAAAAACACGCAGACACGCAGTTGGCCACGAGGCTCTTCGCGCCCCCGCTGCGGCCCCGGGAGTTGGAGGAGCGGGGAGCTGGGTCCCCTAGGGGGGTGTCCCGACCAGGTGCGAAATATCCACCTTTTCAGTTCATGGTTTGGGTAGACGATTTCAATGGGTTTTGATTTTGACTTAGACCTCCCTTAAAAAGCAAAAAGGCTTGGGTAGACGCAGTCAATACCAGGTGTTCATTGATTACATGACTCAGGCCTCCCTCTACAATCCACCAGACATGGGCGCCTTGCGCAGTCCCAAATACAATCGATGCCTCAGCTCGGTCTGAAACTGGATCCGTGACCTCCCGCAGGCTTTGCACAAAGCGGCGAAAGTTGTCTTGCTGCGGCCTGGGGATGTGGGGGGCTCAGAGGATGCTGATGCCATACCCAAAAGAACACCGCTTTGTGCAGCTCAATGCCTGTTTTGTGGAGCATCCGGGCAAACACGCATCGATGGCAAAATCGAGTGATGGCCCAAGACCTTCATTGCTACTTAAGTTTTTCTTGATTTGGTGTGCTCCCCTTCAAAAACTCACCCAAGCCAAAAACCAAGGGGTGCCCGCGTGGTTTTTTCCTTGGCCGCATTTCAAGAAATGCTAGGTGTACATGTTCAGCGGCGGCGTGGCGCACACCGTGATCTGTGCTTCCGAGGACAGGACGTGAAAGGTTCTGCAGCCTCATGGGAGCGCAGAAATGCGGGGAGCCTCCGGGTTTAGTAGCCAGCCTACGAACCTTGTGCTGGCGTGCCAGTTTAACACAGACACACACGCAGACTTTCCCGGGGCAAAGTGCAATGCCAAGATCACTTGAGGAGATGTGCTTGGGTGTCTACGAGTCCTTTGTCACTCTGCACCCGGAGCACGTGGAGCACTTTTTGCACACTGCCGATCTCGAAGGCATGGCGCGGAGAGCCGTTCAGGAGTGCCCACCTGGCCGAAGGGAGTGAGCCACAACCAAGCTGCGCTCGTTGGGTGAAAGTAGATGGCAAAATGCTTCTCGTTTGGTTTAGTGACCCCCGTTTGCGTACCCACAGAGTCATCCCCTTTGCGTACCCACAATGCGACTCCCAAAGGATGGATGGGTGAAAGTATTTCCAGACCCGCCATGGTTAAAGAGGTGAGGCTGACCTTTTGACTCGTACATGGTTTTGGCAGTCCCGTTTGGCGGTCCCGTTTGCACAGCAGATGTTAAATGGCGAGTCAAGTGGTTGCGGTACGCTTGGTCCATTTATTTTTGTTGCAGGCTTGAAGTTCCCAGGCAATCGCCCGCCCAAAAAATCGGGCCGTTTTCCGACCGAACCAGTCTGGCTGGCTTTGACACCTGACCCATTTAGTTCGAGATGAGCCCCCTATCGATGGAGCCTTCGGCCGCGCTACATTCCCCAAGAGCTCAAAATTTCAAGATGGCTCAATCCTCACGTTTGGCGGATCCTCTTTTGTGGGGTAATGTTTCAACCGCAGCGAACCACTGGTACTAGTCTGTTTGCAGCTCAGCAACAGCGAGAATGACCCGTTGACCCCCACCCTCGCAAAGTCTACTGAGCGTGTCGCTTGGTGAGGCCCCTACTTCCTGGACTCCTACTCCATGAGCCCCAGGTCCTTCAGAGACACCAAGGTGCGGCTGCAGAGTCTCCGAGGTTCGCAGCGGCCTTCCGCATCCCAAGGTGACGTGGTGAATCGTGGTGCTTGGGCTTGGATTATTGGGATATGATGCGGGCGCGGCTGTTGCAGCAAAGGCACGGTTGCCCTAGACGTTTCAAACCATTAAAGCAAGCGGGCAAATGTCATTCAGGGGTAAGGGGGTTCAAGACAAACGTGTATAGAAGAGTCCCACAAACAGCTGCCCGTTGGTTGCCTAATTTCCAGGCAGGACAAATTCATGCCTCACACATGTTCCTGTTTGTTCAACCCAAGCATGCGCAATTTCAGGATTGCGTTACTTGCCGTATCACATTGCAGACAACAGCTGTAGGTTACATTGTATCCTTCTTGGCACGCAGTTGTAGAAGTGTTGCTGTCCTGGCCTTTGATCGATCTTGACTGGCACCACGGGATGTCGTGTTCGAGGTGCACTTCCCCGTGAGGAGGTGTTGAGTTGCCCGAACGGCCGAACATTTATTGTCCTAACCACCATGGTCTGAGGTGCAGCTCTAATCTTTTTTAACCATAAGTCTGAGTATCAAAGCTAGCTGACATTTAGTAAACAGAGCAAGCCCTGAACCCAGGGTTCAGGTGTTATTGGGTAGGTTAGTATTTCCGGGTTGTGTGGCCTAGGTGACTCTTCAGAATCATGGAAGTGGACAAAGGTGTGGAAACCTGCAATACTTGTGACAGTTGGTGTGTCTTCAAGTAAGGAAACCAACGAGTTTGAGTTATCAACATAATGTAGACCCCTGACATATTTCGGAAGTAAAACGAGCCCGTTCCCCGCCTGCGGGATGCTTTGCAGGTGAGTTCTCAGCGCACTCACAACCAAGCACAAAGTCCCTTTTAGTCGGAAAACGGTGTTCCACCCCTTGTCAGGTTCTACGTTAGTGAGTGGAACGGTATCTCCTTATCTCCATTCGGCCCAGAACAAGGGAAGCCACTCCTCACTTGCGCAAAAAGACCCGCCCTTTTTGACATTTTGGCTTTCCTGATTTGATCCATATTTAGTCCAGGATCCAAAAGGGGATCACCTTGCAGTTGCAGGTCCAAACTGGGCAAGTCAGAATAGGAAGAATATGGGCATGATTGTGGAAAACGGGTTTTATGGCCTTGTGTGACACTAAGGGAATGTGTAAACCATTGTGGAGTTTTGGGTGGACAGGTTTAGGGTTCTCTGCGGATAAGGTTCCTTAGGAAGGCTTAGGGAAACCCAAAGACCCCCCTTTAAAATCCCCCACGCAGAAAAGGCTGATAACATACAATTTGGGCCTACCAAACGGGCATGTGGATGAACCTTGGAAAAAGCGAGCGGTTGAATCGAAGAGGAATAGCAGCCATTAGGACGGCTCACGCAGTCGGAGAGGGCCGCCATGGCTACATTTTGGCCGTTCCAGGGAGCACTGGACGATATATGACGATATCATGAAGGCAGAGCTATGGAGCCACAAGCACATAAAAACGAAAACGAACATAGCCCCGCTTGATTTGGACAAACGCACCGGCGTGCGTTCGGCGCCAACAGAGGCGGCGTCGTGTTCGTCTTCGCCTTCAGGTTCTGTTCGGGCAAATTTATCACATGTTCGTTCCATTGACACGGCTTGACAAGCTCAAGCGCCAAGGCCTTTCAAGGCTATTGGTCGCTCTTTGTTGCAGACCAACAACAAAAGCACGAAGTGTGAGTTGGCCCAACATCTTGTAGCAGAGAAACTTTGCAGAAGCCTGAGGTTAACTTACGGAAGAAGAAGAAGACATGGAGAGCAAGACGTACATGGACCCGCTTGATTTGGACGAACGCACCGGCGTGCGTTCGGGGCCAACAGAGGCGGGCGTCGTGTTCGTCTTCGCCTTCAGGTTCTGTTCGGGCAAATTTCATCACATGTTCGTTCCAGTGACACTTCTTCACAGGCGCCAGTGCCAAAGCCGTTCAAGGCTATTGGTCGCTCTTTGTTGCAGACCAACAACAAAAGCACGAAGTGTGAGTTGGCCCAACATCTTGTAGCAGAGAAACTGTGCAGAAGCCCAAGGTTCAAGTGTGGAACAAGCAGACATGGAGACGAAGACGAACATCGCCCCGCTTCATTTGGACGAACGCACCGGCGTGCGTTCGGGGCAAACAGAGGCGGCGTCGTGTTCGTCTTCGCCTTCAGGTTCTGTTCGGGCAAATTCATCACATGTTCGTTCCATTGACACGGCTTGACAAGCTCAAGCGCCAAGGCCTTTCAAGGCTATTGGTCGCTCTTTGTTGCAGACCAACAACAAAAGCACGAAGTGTGAGTTGGCCCAACATCTCGTAGCAGAGAAACTTCGCAGAAGCCAGAGGTTCAAGTATGGAAGAAGAAGACATGGAGACCAAGACGAACATCGCCCCGCTTGATTTGGACAAACGCACCGGCGTGCGTTCGGGGCCAACAGAGGCGGCGTCATGTTCGTCTTCGCCTTCAGGTTCTGTTCGGGCAAACTCATCACATGTTCGTTCCATTGACAGACACTGCTTGACAAGCTCAAGCGCCAAGGCCTTTCAAGGCTATTGGTCGCTCTTTGTTGCAGACCAACGACACTAGCACGCAGTGTGAGTTGGCCCAACGTCTTGTAGCAGAGAAGGGAGAAGAAGGACATGAAGACGAAGACGTGCATGACCCCGCTTCATTTGGACGAACGCACCTGCGTGCGTTCGGGGCCAACAGTGGCGGCTTCGTATTCGTCTTCGCCTTCAGGTTCGGTTCGGACAAACTCATCAAATGTTCGTTCCATTGGCACTGCTGACAGGCGCAAGCGCCAACGCCATTCAAGGCTATTGGTCGCTCTTTGTTTCAGACCAGAATAGCACGCAGTGGGAGTTGGCCCAACATCGTTGGCCCAACGTCTTGTTGCAGAGTAGCTTCACAGAAGCCAGAGGCAAGTATGGAAGAAGAGACATGGAGACCAAGACGTGCATCTTTCCCGTTTTATTTGGACGAAAGCACCTGCGTGCGTTCGGGGCCAACAGAGGCGTCTGTGTCTGGGTGTACGTCTTGGCCTTTTGTGTTCTGGTCAGGGGAATTTGGCAATGAACAGCTTGCCCAAGTTTTACGGAGCAGGAGCGTGCCGTCTGTGTTTGCGGCAAGCCTGTTGGCGGGCCCTTGCCTTTGCACATTTGCGCGCTTGCGTGAGTAAGAAGGTGAGATGCACAGCCGAGTGTCGAAAAGAGGTGCTGGAATGCGTGTGTTTTGCCAAGGCATGCTAAGGCTGAGGAGACATGATCATGTCAATCGTGAATGAACGTCCCGCATCACCCCGCTACGCAGTGACACCCGTTTTCCGGTGATTTGTCTAACCGTATGCGAGGCTACCCAAAACCGTCGTCGCAGCCTGGCAGGACGATTGCCTTGACCAGCTAGAGGCACATGGGCCCTTTGGAGGGGGCGTTTGGCGCGATTGACGCGGCGAGCGAAGGCCATATGAGCGGCAAATGGGTAAAGAGTTTAGAGTTGCTTTGGGTGATCTGAGCAAATGGGTCAGAATCCTTTCAAAGGCAAGAATTGTTGCTGCCATCTTTAGGCTGGAGTCTTTTGCAGGAAATGCTTTAGGTTGAGCAGAGTTCTGGCCAAGTGCCTGCCACTGGACCATTGAACCTACCACTTAGGGGGTGCCTTTGATAATAATGGTATCATGGGGTCAGCATTTTTTCTCCTGCTCTGCGCCATTTCTGACGACATCGCCGATCAAGAGGTACAGCACATATGATGAATAGCTCTGGGTGAAGGCAAGCATTGCTTGGCCCATCCCCCCCTCCCACACACATTGTTTCAAAACTAGCAGGCGATATCGACTAAATCGTGCGGACTCCCTCAAAACCCTTTGAACAGGCACCGGGTTAAAACTTGCAGTGTTCAGTGGCACTTGTTTTCCCCCTAAAGGGGTTCCCATTGAATGGACATGAGCCACCAACAAGGGGTCAGGAGGATGCGGTTTTTCAGCTCCGGCAGGACGCGGCCGAGCACTGCCAGTCGGGGGGCGCGGAACCTTGGATTGCGAAAGCCGAAAGTTTGGGCTCGCAGCTGTCCTTTCTAGGGTGGTTAGAACTAGATGGGTTCCGCTGGTTGTAGACTGGCTTTATGCCCCATTTACAAGGGACACATTTTTTCTCCAAAGAACATCTATGCTGCCCCGCTTACATCAATATGATGAAACATGTTAAACATATGAGCTCCTAGGTTTGGGGTTGAAAGTGGACCAAAAGGGCAGGTCAGATGTGGCAACCCAACGAATGACAGGATTCCTGTTCCAGTTTTTGCTTCTTCTTAGGCTGCGCAAGGTCTGCTTCAAACTGATACTCTCTCTTGTTGCCCCCCTGAAAAGACCTCCAAAGCACAAATCAAAACCACCAATAAGGGGGAAGCTGACTGAAGGAACCGATGTCTGTGCCGATGACAAAGCCCAAGCCCTCCACGAGGCCTGCGAGGGGCTCTTCAGAGAACGGTGCCAGTCGCTGAGGTGCCGAGTGAGGGAGAAGGGTGGTGCAGTGCGGAGGGGATTCGCGTGTTTCTCATGTTTCTTTGTCGTGTGGCGGGGGGGTGTCTCTATTCCAAAACCAGCCAGCTTCCCCAAAGCTAGCTCGATTGAGGTGATTGAAATGACCGCGCGCTTGCCAATGCCAAGTGCGATTCCTGTTGGTTGGGTGGTGCTTGCGGGGAATAAGGTATGCATGCTGACTGTTTGTCCGCTTTTGCGTGTTTGGTTCCTTCCACTGTTTCCAGAGTGACTCATCCGAAGCCAGCGACATCAATAAGATATGTATTTCGATCGGGCTCTTTCTTCAGGCGGCTAGACTTGAAAGATTGGGCCAACATGCTATATCTCAGTTGTTCAGTGGCCGCCTTTCTCCCTTCTTGAACAAAGGCTCGGGACCCACTAAACCTGGCATCAACCCCAATCAGAGCAAATGCTGTTCCTGCTCATGTCCCATGCGCTTTTCGAGCACGTTGGACCTATGGACTGGTCCAGATCTTCAAGCTCCAGAGAATCCCACTAGACTCCTCTCTCAACGCGGATTAGCCACCCTGGCAGATTGAGAAGGGGGATTCCATTCACAGGACAACCCTATTCATCAGGCAGGTTTTGACTCATGGATATCTTTTTCATGTAATTTGGCTACATTTAGACGGCCATTCAAACGTGGGTCCATGCTTGACATTCATCCCCTTGATGTTCAGCAAAAAGCGCCAAGGGGGCGCGCGTTTAGAGAGACACTCATGTACGCCGCCTCTGCCTTGCCCTTGAGGCGCCGGCAAGTTGGCGTCGTTTCCAAGCAAGGCCATACGACCGGACCTGGGTCTGCGTTTAGGGAGCTCATTGGGAGGTCATTCAGACCATTTGCTAGCCATTGCGGGGTCCTGGTTGTTAGCTTTTTGGTTTTGTCTGCAGCCCTGCAAAACCCGCTCGGAGGCGCTCACAAGGTCCCTTTCTGTTTTTGTGTTTTTGTCTGGCTGGGTCCCCTTCTCGAATGATCAGCCAAGGCGCGAAACGCAAGTCCACTCGTGTTTTGGAAGGTACAAAAGCAGGGGAACAATCACCGGAAAACCCACACCTCATGCTATAGGTTGATTGGTTCTTAGAAGTTGGGCGAAACTTCAAACCCTCCCACAATCATGGAAGGATGAACTTTGCTTTCGGAGAAGTCCCCTGCCCATTGCAGGAGCGGCACGAATGCAAGATAGATGACTCCTGGATTTTGATGAGTGCTTAATTGTTTTTCTTGACGGCTGGCACTTGACATCTGCTTTGATGTGTTGCTCTTGAAGAAACGGAAGAGCAATGGCTTGGCGTGAGTGGGGTGATCCCAAGGCCATGGCCAGTTGGATGGCACGTTAGCTCGGCCGCAACACACGCCCAGCCAATGCATAGCATCCGTCCATTTATCCATAGATTCTCCATCCATGCATCTCATCCCATCCAATCCCATCCACCCATTTTACGTCTCCAGCGAAAGCTGCCCATATTTCCTGCAGGGCGGATCTGCGTTCCTGCTATGGCCTTGGTTGAGGGCCTACTTTCAGGGTCCAGCGCTTGTGGAAGCAAACTCGCGCTGGGCAAAACCACTTCTACAAGTACAACGCCCCTTGGGCGAAGCCCTTGGATTGATTCACGGGGTTCGGTTGTGCTGGAAAGGGTTAGCAAACAGCAAAAGCTTTTGGGCGCAAGCCTCAACACAACTTTCAGCGACGGATATCTTGGCTCGGGCACCAATGAAGGGCGCAGCGCAACGCGACTAGTTTCAGTTCATTTGGCAGTAAGTCGGGCCATGGCGCAGGCTGCTGGGCGACGACGGCTTTCTGAAGACTTTGGAGCACTACTTTGCTCGGGCTGTGGACCTTTGCGCAGGCCAACGCCCACAACGAGTTGGTTCCTGAAATTTGTTGCAAGCTTGGGCGTCAAGACGGGATGCAGTACCAATTATTGGACAAACTAATGCTAGTTAGGAGGTGGATGTTGTCTTGTTTCGGAAGTGTTTTTCATTGTAGAAGGCGGTGTGTGTTTAGCGTGTTTGCGTTCTTGTATGTTTGATTGGTTGGTGGATTGGTGGGTTAGCGCGTTTGTCGTTTGTTTGTTGGCTTGCATGTTTATTTGTTTGTGTGCGTGTTTGTTTGTTTGCTTGCTTGTTTGTTTATGTCGTCCTTAGTTGCTTTCGTTCTTTCTTTCTTTCTTTCTTTCTTTCTTTCTTTCTTTCTTTCTTTCAGTTTGTCTGTTTGTCTGTCTGTCTGTCTGTCCGTCTTTCTGTCTTTCTGTTTTTCTGCCTTTCTGCCTTTCTGCCTTTCATTATGTCTTGCTATCGCTTGTGCCGCTGTTCGTTTGTTTGGTTGTTATGTTGGCTTGTGATGTGTGGTTTGTTTACTTGCTTCCTTGTTTGCTTGTGTGTGTGTTTTTATTGATATGGTATGGTTTGGTGTTGTTTGGTTTGGCTCGTGTTTTTGTTTGCGTGATTGTTTGTTTGTTTGTTTGCTTGCTTGCTTGTTCGTTAGTTAGTTAGTTTCCTTGTTTATTTGTTTGTGCGTGTGTGTGTGTTGTTTGTTGTTTGTTTGTTTGTTTGTTTGTTTGTTTACGTGCTTGCTTATTTGGTTGGTTGGTTGCTTGGTGTGGATTGTGTGTTTCTTTGGTTTGTTGGTTGGTTGATTGAGTTTTTGTTTGTGTGTTTGTTTGTTTGATTGTTTGTTTGTTGTTTGTTTGTCTGTCTGTTTGCTTGATTGTTTGTTTGTTCAATTGGTTTGGTTTGGTTTGGTTTGGTTTGGTTTGTGTGTTTGTTTGTTTGCTGGTTTGTTTGTTTGTTTGTTTGTTTGTTTGTTTGTTTGTTTGTTTGTTTGTTTGTTTGTTTGTGTGTGTTGTTTTTGTGTTTTGTTTGTGTGTGTTGTTTGTGTGTGTTGTTTGTTTGTTTGCTTGCTTGCTTGCTTGCTCGCTTGTTTGCTTGCTTGCTTGTGTTTTTTTTTTGGTTTGTGTGTTTGTATGTTTGCTTGCTTGTTTGTTTGTTTGTTTGTTTGTTTGTTCGCGTTGGTTGTTTAGTGTTCTTGTGTGTCATGCCGTGTCGTGTCGTGTCGTGTTGTGTTGTGTTGAGTGTTTGTGTGTTTGTATGTTTTGAGTGTTTATGTTTGTGTGTACGTGTTTGTGTGTTTGTGTGCTTGCGCTTTTGCGCGCGAGTGTGTTGGTTCTGTGTGTGTGGGCGTGTGCGTGCTCTTTTTGCATGTGTGTGTGTGTGTTTTCTGGGGACTTCTCATTCAAGCGTCTAGCGGGCCCGAAAATCTTTCGGAGGGAGGCCTGTGCGGGCAACGCAGGTGACCGCTACTTCAGGCGGGTGGGCGAAGTGCGCCAGTACTTTCCGCGGTATTGTTTGGACCCTGAAGAGGGTTGGAAAATGAGGCTAAGAGCTGCTCTGACTGAAAGGGCCCTGATTGAAGCATGATAGTTCCTTCCCAAGCCCCACGCAGGCGCCACTTGCTGGAGAAGGTCTTGATGGCAGGGAAGGCACCTGGGGCGCTCCAAACCTCCCAAAGTCAGGATCGTTTCAACGGACACAGTTGATCAACTTTCGATTTGGGGAAGTCCGGTTTCACCTGTCCACTGCAAATTTTGCAATGTTGGTTTCTTCAAAAGCGATCAAGGGGTGCATCCTTACCGAAGTACCCTGTGGAGGGGGTAACCATATTTTCCATTTCTCTGCGCAAGGTAAGATCATGAAGCATGGGCGGTTTGACAGCTGGTGGCCGGGATCCGGGATCCCCCCATGAAACATGGAATGGTGGGAGGAGGGGATGGTGGCCCTGGAATTGGGGACCACCTCCTACTCTTTTGGGGTGAGGATTGGGCAAATGGCTGGGGTCTGCTCCAAACACAGTAGGCCCTAGGCTGCCCAAAGATAAGCCAATTCCGAACACCTGACTTTAGGCGTTTTTGGTGCGCCTAGAGCCAAGCTTTTCAATTCGCTGAGCCGAGACGAGGGTTTTCTTGAGAGGCCTGTGGCGGCATGGGCGGTGATGCGCCGCTGAGACCAGGCCCGGGGCCAGCCGCACGGAAGCGTCGGAGCATAGATTTGAACCAGCTGGTGGGTTCATGGGGCAGCCCTTCTTGGCTTAGCTGCTTAGCTTGGCTTACCCGTTTAACTCTGCTTCTTTGCCAGCCAGAGTTAACCTTTCTGCAGCGGGGACTGTAAGTCCGGTCAACAGGAGGTCCCTTGCTTCGCTGGCTTTTTGCTCACGTGCCCATCGAGCATTCGACCTGAAGGCCCCAGAAGCCATCGAGCGAGGTCCCTTGACCCGGGATTTCTGGTTTCCAGTTGGCGAGTGAAATGTGTTAAAACGCGCGGGAACTCTTCACGATTGGGTGTGTTCTTCCGGTTTCTCTTTAAAGTGAAAAGAGCATCCTGACAGAACACATGAGTTCATGGTGTTTGAGCTTTGTTTGCCGTGGTGGGCTGGCAAGAGGGGTGCAGAGTGGGGGAACAGCGACGTGGTTCATCACATCGGAAAACTCGACAATTGCTTCTGCAAGTCGACTTTTAGTTTCTATACCTTCGTCAGGAGAATAAGTAAATCAGCGCCCCTCCCTGAATGAATCCACAGACTGTGTCCCTTCTCGCGCTTTCAGAGGTCGAGCCAGGCCGCTTCTTTGTGTGCATGGCGCAAGGTTAGGTGTCACTATTCGGCACGCCTATGAACTACTTCAGTTTCCTCGGGGGCTCGTCCTTGAGGGTTTGAGAGAGGAATTGGCGATGACACTCATCAGTCATTTGCTGAAGATGATGTGTTTCTTCCTTCGGCAGGTTATTTCTTTGGCGCATTTTGCCAAGGGATGTTAGGACTTTCACTTGTTGCCAACGGGTTTCCCGTTGAACCACGAAAAGTTAAACTTCTAGGGGAGCAGACTGCAGTGGCCCCTTCCCATGCGGCTGTGGCACGTGCCAGGAGTGCGGAAGCGCCGCTCGGTGAAATCCAAAGGCATCCAGGGCCTGCGGCCTCGTGCCCGGGGAAAGCGGCGCTTTACGTGGGACTGACCCAAATTCATAGATCTGAACAGGGCTCCTTAAAAGATGCATTTTGCTCATTTGAAACATGGCTTTTTCCACCAAAATAAGGGGACACCACCATTGACAAGGCAATGTTCAGGTGTATGATCCCTGCTGAAACCTTGGTACATAATGTGCGCCAGATCTACCTACCGCCAAAATAGATCAAACTAGCAGGGTGGCAAACTTTCAGGGTCTGCCAGGAACCACATCCACGCGCTCTTGTGACTGCCAGCCCAGCCACGCTCAGGCTGCAGAGCCGACAGCGATTCCAGGCCGGTTCGGGGTGCAACGGCGGCGAAAATTGGGAAGCCTCAATCAGAAGGATCGCAGGAAAGTTTCCAGGGATGATGCGGCAACTTTTGTTTTCTTTCATTTTTTTGGGGGGGGGAAGGGGTAAACAACCGGACACAACTCATGTGAAGGGGTGCTTGGTTTGATACAGTTCTATTTGGTGCCCTTGCAGGTGTTTCCAAGTTTGCGTCATTTGCACTTATTTCAAGGCCCCTTTTGGAAGGCCAATTCAATCCAATTTAATCTCCTCGCGTTGACTTTTTGGGGTGTGTTGAAGGATCACCTCGAAGGAGCCACACATGTTTGGGATTTGTTTTCGAGAAAGCTCCAAAGTGCGACGCAGGAGTTACAGCTCCTACTCTGAGTCGGAAGCCGCGGAAGGCTGAAAAAGGACCTGGCTCAGCTTGCTCTTGTGGCTTTGGGGAACCAAGTATGTGTGTTTCGTTTCCCGTCTGGACGACCCACAAAGGGGTACCGTCGCAAGAGAAAGCCACACGTCTTGGTGCGAAGGGGCGACCAAAGGCACCCATACCCCCCCCGAGGAATTCATTTGTGGGGTGCGGTGTCAACATGCTCAAGCGGTTTCATTGACCGTCTACGACACTTAGGTTGGACCATTGTCCGCCCCTTCCACGGGATGAATGGACCTCCAAGGATTCTCAAGATTACCTTTCGGGGGTTGTCTCCCAATGGGCCAATTTTGAGGATGTCACTTTCATGGACCCAGCTTGGCCTGCCGCATCCGCCGTGCTTCCAGAGCGGTAGCAGTCTGCAGTAGGGAGCAGACGCTGCGGGGGCGCAGCTGCAAGGGCACATTGACATGCACATGGGTTTCTCTTGTTCCCGCTTATTGAATGAAAGGGAACCACAATTTTATTTGGGCCGGCTCGCTAGACAAGCCCACTTCAATACATCTTTGAGTCATCATTGATCGCTCCCGCGTCCGACGATAAGACCAGCACACCAGCCACATCTTGACCTGCGACACCCAAAGGCGAGGCCGAGATCGTGCAGTTTGGAGATCGTGCTGGGGTGTGTCTTGTGAGTTTGTTTGGTTGGGCTGTGTTGTCCGTTGTGTGCTGATTTCATGGTTGTTGTTGCGAAGCATTTTACATGTTTGCTTATTGTGGTTGAGTGGGAAATCCGCACTTAACTGATAAGATGTTTAATTGTTCGCTCCCCTTCCAACGTCAACCAAGATTTGTTTGCTAGGGCCGCAACTGCGTGATAAGACTAAGGTTCCAAGATGTTGACAACTTGAATCACTGCTATTCCATGCTTCCTGTGCAGACCCCCTTCCCTTTTCAGCCAACTTGTTTACACTGGAAAAGGGACACCCCACTGTTGTTTGATTTCAGCGAGCCAAAGCACTTGAAGGCAATCTCGCACTCTGGCCCACTTGTGTTGTACAGCGTTTTGCTTTTTGACGCCTTTCTTTGGAGGAGGGGGGAGGCGAAAAATAGAGAGACCCACGGAAGTGACACTGGTCTGGCCTTTTCAAAATGGGCTGGCTGATCCGAGCACTGCAACCTGGCAACCCCAAGAATCATGTCAGAGGCCAAATCCTTTCAAGGGAAGGATCTTCCGGATTGTGTTTCACGGTGTTGTGTGTCGGCTGATTACATACGTAGCTAGTGCACCAGAGGCTTGCATAGACAGCACATGTCTGGGAATGGGCAAGTATAGGGGCGAAGCCAAAACGGGCGAGTTGTGACATGTGCTTTCAGCCAACTGTAGCGCCTGTGAGCCTTGCAATCACTCAGCGGGAGGTTTGTGTTCTCTTTCGAATTCCTCGGAAGCCGCGCGGCTTCCTTCGACCCACGGCATGAACCAAGACCCTGTGGCACGGGATCAACCACGCCTCCTCCCCAGATGGACCTATACTGGATTATACCAAATTATGCTGGTGAGTCACTTATTGTACATGTTTATTTCTCATGGTGCGGGTATAGATGCCGCCTATCGGCAGGGGCCAGGGGCAACAGAGCACAGGATGGGCGAAAGACATTACATTCAGGGAAGCCAACTAGCAGGGATATAAGGGGAACCAGGGATACGGGAGGATTCCCCCTAAATGCACCTTGACTAAGTTTGATATGGGAAATGGCGCCAAGGGAATCCCCTCATAGCCCCGCTCCCTCTGTATCCCGGCTTGTTCGTTTGTCCAATACATAGGGACGCCGGCAATGGCATGTCCGTTCTCTTGTTTGCTGCGCGCAGGTGTAGCGCAGCGCATGGCGTGCACCCACTTTACATGTGCCGCGCTGAGGGACTGAGGAACTGAGGGACTGAGAGACTGAGGGGCTGAGGGACTGACGGGGCTCGCGGCATGGGCTGAGTTGTGTGGCAGATGCCCTCCCTTCAACCATAGTCATAGTCAGCTCCAAGCGACAAGCGCATGATCAGAACGCAAGGCTAACAGATTATGCTGGTGTCCTTGAATTTCCGTCTTGGGGCCAATCTTCTGGCAGGCGTGGGCAGGACGCTTGGGAGCTAACAGTAGGCCCTTTCCAAAAGGATGCCTGATTGGTAACTTTCTGTCTATTTGAACGAGGTTTGGTCGGACCATATCAGCTTCCTCCCCTTTGTGACAATGCATCGTTGTGGATCGACTTATCTGACACCAGGTTTTGAAAAGCATTCGGCCCGCCAGTCCGCCATGCCCTTTGTAGGGTGTCTCAGGATCCCCGCCTGCTTTTACCTGTGAACTTGGTTTGACCCTTTGGAATTTCATTCGTCGCGGTTGTGCGACCCCTTCGGACCTTAGCCCCGCCCTCCTTCCCCCCTTGCAACATGAAGCAAACAAAAAACATTAGGTTCCGCCCCCCCGCCCCCCCGCCCCCCCATGGCCGGGAAACACCCCCTCAGCCATTGACCACTGGCCCTGGTTGAAAGGACTCTTCTTTGGCAAGGACCCCGGTTGCTTTTTTTCTGGGAGTCGGCAGGTGCGTCCCAAAAAAGGGGCGCTGCACTGAGGTTGCGTAGCCGAGAGCGCAACGGAAACGGCAATTCAGCCAGACAGACTGATGCAGGACCGTCGGGCCCAAGGCTTCCGAATCTGTTTGGGTATGTGTTTCACTTGGGGGCTCCCAAAATTGACTTTCCTTTTCTCACTTCCTGAGTTCATGAACTCTAAACTTTTTGGGAAGACCATTTTAGTGGTACAGAAAAAGTTTGGACTTTTTTGGGCCATCCACTCAGCCAGTCAGTTTTGGTTCACATTGAACAAAACCTTTAAACGGGTACCCGTAACAAACACCCAGGGGCTATTTGGTTGGATCTTTTCTCACCGAGCTCGAGCTGAAATGAGAACAAATTCAGTTCCCGAAGGCCTTAAGTCAGAGCTCCTTGGGTCTCTAAGCCTTCCGGAGTTGGGTGGGTTCTTTGGGCCACTGAAAGCGCCGTGCGCATTCCTCCAGAAGTGGCTGTGCAGTTTCCTCACGGGCTTTATGATTGCGCGCACAAGCGCGCGCAAGTGAACACTCGATCTCCGGAAAGCACAAGAACCAATCGTTGCAAGGAGTGTCAAACAGCAAGCTGTCAAGCTTCAGATTGGGTGCTGAGGCAGGTGAAACTAGCCAACCTCCCCAACGGAGCAAGGCCCGACAAATTGATTTGAATTCACCTCGAATCACAGCGCAGCACTTTCAAGCTGCTTGCAGCGCACAGTGGAGAGGCGGGGCGATCGCCGAGGAATGGCGCAAATCCAAATCGTTCCGCAGAAGAAACAGCAAACTCATCCCAAATGCTTCCATGCTAGGCTAGTTGGTGCCTGGTTGGTTGCGAAGAATTGGTTGGCAAATCGAGACGAGCTCACCAGGTTAAAACGAGCTCGCCCATGAGCAAGGCCTCTGCTTCATTTTTGACAAGCCAACCCCAAAGGGTCCAAGCACCGTCTTAGTTGGGGGGTAAAGGGTCAAAGTATCTAAGGACATCCTCACAAGGTACCAGGCCCTCAGGAAACGGATGCCATCCATCTATCCCTTCGACGATTTCCGCGCGAGGAGGTGCCGTGGCAGCTGAGTTTGCCGCCAGGCGCCTGGATCGCAGAGCTCCGGGCAGGCGCGGCGCGGCGCCCCTCGCAGGTTCTCTCGCACGCCTTCGCGCTTGGGGGGAGGGAAGAGTCTGTGGCCCCCCCATGCAGGACTCCCCCTCTATAATTGGAAGGATCCGGCTGTCAACCCTGTGGCTAATCCAGGCAGATCGTGAATGGAGCGAGCTCACCATGAAGGTTCTTTGCCAAAGCGGCGGTTGCAACTTCAGGTGTCGGAATAATTGCAAACATTGCGGGCGGTATGTGTCCAAGGCACTCATGCCACGGAAATTCAATTCAACAGGTGCCAGTCTTGCTTGGCAAAAGGGATTGGGATACCAGTTTGAAAATGCTAATCCGGTAAGCAACCTCTGCAAGTACAACCTAGGTTGCGCGCTATTCCAGGAAGTCCTGCGCGATGGTAAGCATGAATACTCCAACAAGATGCGCTGAGCCGGTTTCCAGCCGGGTTTCCGCATGGGCATTGCTTCCGTCCTCTCTCTGGCCATGGTATCGCAGGTAGCGGCAAAGAGAAGGTCCACCTCGGCCTTAGCTTTGACCTGTCAGTTTCCTGGCGGCAGTGGCACCTGCGTGTGGAGGTTTCGCATGGCAAGCTCGGTGGTGTTTTTTTGAGACCCATAAGCTGCTTCGAAGAGAAACCAAAAGGAAACACATATCATAGGACCCCATAAACTGATTGATGAAAGAGGTGTTTTCCCTCTTAGTCGGCTCATGAGAAGCTGAAGCGAGATAAGAATTGATGCAGTTCATGAAGTTGATGCAAACTTGGGTCAGGCCCAGCCCCCTAAACAATGGAATTCCATTTTTCCCATGGCCACTGGAGGTTTTTTTTGGGGGGTTGTGCCAGCCAACTGCATGAATCAGACATGCACCCGGTTCCTATGTTTTCATGGCTTTCCTCTTTGCGGGTTCCAGACAAAAGGAGCTGGAGCCACTTGCCAACCTGAGCCGGGCGCATCTCTCCATGACTTCCTTACATCACATGCCCTCAGCACCTGCCTTGCACAGAAGAGCCGGCACCTGAAGAAGGAGAGACAGCAGAGTCCCTGTTCCCTCAGACTGGTAGTCCGTGACCCAACAGCAGACTCGACCAGAGAGACCATCGTCCTGCAACACTTCATCCAGCTACATTGGCTCATTCTTTCCGGGACCCCGCAAACCATCCTCGAAAGATCCCCGGCTGGGCAGGACATCTTAAGCCTCATCTGGCCTAATCGTTAGGTGGACTGCGGGTTTGTTTGGCGGCCCCTCGTTTGTGCATTGCAATTCGGGGCATCGCCCGCAGCCTCAAGCAATTTTGCGTTACGCAAGGGCTAGACCAGCGAATTCCGAATTCGCTCTGGACTAAACATCAACGACCTCAGGGTGGTAACCTGAATGAACGTTCCTGTCCGATCGATCCGCTTTTGGGTCTTCGCGAGTGAAAAATAGAGCTCAAAATGCAACATGCTGATGGACAAAATCCCAGCCAATCGGCACCAGTTGGTAGGTGGCTTCTCCCACCCTCCCAGCTGGGTGTGAAGTTGGGATTGGTCAGTATCCGAATGGGTCCCGGAAGGTTTCGCAGGGCCATCTATTTTCGCAAAAGGTCGCCCATGCCCAGGCTGTACACGGGATCCCTTGCCGATCGAGTCTTTTGCCATGAGCATACTGTACTATGCTCGGCTGGGATGTTGGGACCTCGAAATGCAGCTTTGAGGGACTTTCCAAAGAAACGGGCTCCAAAGTGAACCCCGGCAATTTGTGCCCTGGCGGGTGCTGAAGCTTGCCCCCAGCTTGAAGTGCCCTCGTATCTTGTGGCTGAAAGGAAGCCACACCGAGAGCATGAGAAGCTTCCCACCTCCCACTTCCACAGGTTTCGTTTGAGCGGCTTGAGGATGACACCACCTGCATCGTGAAGTCGGTGGCGGGCGGCTTGGCGGCTGTCTGGAACAAGTCGGCCCATGAGCACCTCGGAAAAAAAAGGAAGGATGGAAGGGGCGCCTGTTTGCCAGGGTGGCTGGGTGTGCCGCTGATGGGGTTTCCAGATTCAGTCCTTCAGTTTCGAGTGGGCTCAGATTGATTTCAGACGCCACAGCTTTCTCTTGCACTGGAAATCAGAAGTGGAGAAAGCAACACATGATACACACAATCTTTGCCCGGTGACAGGAGCTCCCAGGATTGACCTTCACCTCAAGACGTATCCAAGGTGGCCCATCTTCTTAAACGATGGCGACTTTTAGGTGGCCCTTCGTTTTACAGGTCCAAAAAGGGGAACGGATCACACCACTTCTACGCCGAGTTTGTGTGGGAAGGTCGGGTGGGTGTGAAGTTAAGGAGCCAAGCCATCCTGCCATTCGACCGCATCATTCGGGTCAACGGGATGCCCGGGAGCAGCCGCGAGTTGGTGTCCATCCTCTTGGCGCGGGCCCGAGCGAACCCAAGCGGCCTTTTTGACAGAGACGCCCAGCGGGCTTCCTCGAAAAACTGAATGAGGGCGTGCCCTGTAAAAAATATATTGATAAGTTCTTTTAGAAATGAATGCCCTGTCTGTCCATGGCGAGCGGGGGCGGGGGCGATCGCGATTTTCTGAAAGTTCCCCGGGGTGAAGGGACAGCTTTTGCAGTCCTTTCCCAGGGGTGGTCCCAAGTATGCTGCCAAGGCTGACCACGATGTGCCGCAGGGCTGCAAATGGCAAAGGCTTCGGGAATGCGGAGGAGTTGGCTTCGCTGGCTACATCACGGACCCCTCGAATCATATCGTTTGACACAAGGGTTTCCCTTGAAAACCCCGCAAAGATTGCTATTTGGAGAAACACGCTTTTGGTCTGTTGTCATTATGTCACATCTCTAGGTTCACTAGATGAAGAAATGGACCAGAGCAAACAAATTATGGTTCGGTGGGGCAGAAGCAGCGGTAGGTCTGCAAGTGCTTGTCGTGTTGTGGTTTTTGGGCTTTAAAGTTGTTGGACGTTGTGGACACCTTTCTTCGCCGTGCACGCCACATCTGGCAGCATGACGCTTCCCCCAATAATAGGTAGGCACCAGAGGCGTCCTGAATTTTCTGAGGTCGCCCCTTCACGGCTTCTCCATATGGCCAACGGGCCCCCTTTTTGGTCCCCGCAGGGCCACGGGAAAAGTGGGGAGCAAAGGGCTGTTACCGATAGCATTGTTGTGTGGGGCAACCTCATGCAGTCAGCTGAATTCGGGTGATTGAAAAACGTGCCATGGACCCCAATCAACCCAAAGGGGGGTTCTCGACCAATGCTGTGAACCCTTGGAGAATACGAAGCTTTCGCCAAAGAAACATCACACGTCCTGGCAAGAATACAGTTTGCCCTTTATTTGCTGGCGTCTCCTCCAACATGATCTCAAATTTTCGGCCAGGAAAAATATGATCCCTCCACACGCATTCCGTGCAACTGCCTCAAGTTTCACCAAAGCTGCTGGGTTCACCACCGGACCTCCCGCCGTGTCCTTGGAACAACTCCGCGGGCGGCCCCGAGGTTTTCCATCGCGCTGATGCGCCCGGAGGAGCGCATCGTGGTCGGGGGTCCCAGCGCATTGGAACGAGCTGATTGGAGGGAAGAGCTAGATACAGGTGCACAGGCATATACACACATATATATATATATATACATATTATTACATATATATATATATATGTATGTATGTATGGTACAGCGTTGCCCCCCCCCCTGTGGTTTGGTCCTGTGGTTGGGTTGTGGTGGTTTAGGGTTTGTTTAGAATTGGTTTAGGGTATATTTAGGGTGTATTTAGGGTTAGTTTAGGGTTGGTTTAGGGTTGGTTTATGTTGATTTGGGGTTGGTTTAGGGTTGGTTTAGGTTTAGAGGTGTACGGTTTAGGGTTTGGTTTAGGGTGTATTTAGGGTTGGTTTAGGGTTGGCTTAGGTTTAGAGGTCTACGCTTTAGGGTTTGGTTTAGGGTGTATTTAGGGTTGGTTTAGGGTTAGTTTAGGGTTGGTTTATAGTTGGTTGCGGGTTGGCTTGTCCCGGAGGGTGCCGGGGTGTCGGGGTGCGAGTTCAGGGGGTCGGGGTGGGGGTGGGACGATGTGTATGTATATATGTGTATATGTGTGTGTGTCCTTTGTACACATCTGCAGATTTAAATCGAAGCGTTTGCTTTCCTAGTTGCGAATTATGTAAAGATGCGCGTGCTTGAGGATCGGGATTGATTGAAGCGGGGCCAGAAGAGGACACCGTCGCTAGTTTGAGAATCACTCACCGCAACGATTTCATGCGATAAAGCTGATGAGCACTTGTGTACTTCTATCATCCAAGCATTCCAATGGGCCAAATGGAATTGGTTCAGGTGCCCAAGCTCCATGCAAACCAGCCTCCCAAGCAGACAAGGACGCAGGCCCTGCTCTTGAAAGTGAGGGGCCCCAGGGTCCGCTTGGCGCTTCTCTCAAACAGTCGCCCACGTCGCAGATGTTCAGCGCCCCTTTTCCTTTAGGTCCCCAAACTGGGCTCAAGCTTCTGAAGTCTCGCATTCATTCGGGTCATTGTTTGGGCCTCAGGCTCCGAACATTGGGATCGACCAAGAGAGAAAAAGGGCTCCCATTCGGTTTTTCCTGGCAGCTCGAGTGGATTCCAACCCACGCCACCTGCCTGCCAATTTGTGGCTTGGATTGATGGAGGTGTTCTGGGGTGGTTTTCGATTCACCCTCATCTCTCGAGCAGTTCAAGCCCAACACCCAAACCCCTCCAATCCAACCAATCCAACCATCCCATGCCTTAAGCTTCCCTGGTTTTTGTTTTTCTCCTGAGGATCTCTCTGAGGGGACGGGCCTGGGCATCTGCGTGAAGTACAAGCGGAACTCCGTGGGGTTTTGGGTGAACTTCGTCCAGGAGGGCGCGGTCCAAAGGTGGAACGAGGCACACCCCGAGGCCGAGCCCTGGCTGCAGAGCCGCTGAACTGAGGCCAAAAACTTGCAGCCGGAAGCGGGAAAAAAAAACACGAAAATCCAAGGGCAGTGGTTTTGGTCCTCACCCCTCAATTTTTGCCAGGGTGGGACCACTATAAAGGATTTGTTGTTGTTTTGCTTTTGTTTTTGTTTCTTTTTTTGCGCGGGAACCCATCAAAACGAGGGAGTCGGGTCACTTTTGGCCACAAACCCGCTGCGTAAACCATTCGGCTCCCCCTTGGCGTCTCAAAAGGGGGCATGGAGTGGGATTCAACGGTCCATGGACCACAAGGTCCACGTTGCAGCCGCTGTTGTTTTGTCCCACCTTTTCAGCAGGATTTGTGGGCAGAACGTTCCTTAGGGTGAATAGTTCGTGAAATCAGGGAACCCTGCTTTCGAGCATTGCGTGTCAACTTTTTTTCGTGCGATTGGACAATGGCATGGCTTCACACAAGTTGTGGGTTTCCTCTTGGAGTGCTCTGATGCCAATACATGCCAATACCATGGGTTGGGACCCGCACGCCGAGGCTTTGATGCCGCATGATCGGGTGATATCCGTGAATGGCCAAAGCGGCACTGGGGCGGACCTTTTGTTGCTCCTCCGCGGCCAGCAGACCTTGCGCTTGCAAGTGATGCACTACGAAGATTAAGATGGAACCCAAGACTAGGTCGCCAGCTAGGTGCCCTTTCTCACCGTTTCTTTTTTGGGAGGGTTTTTGCTACTAAAATGGACTACCGAAAAAAAGGGTGCCCTCATTTTAACCTCTCTACTGGCGGACCTAGTTAACATGGAATCCAAGATTCGAGCTGCCAGCACCCTGCAATGATGGCATCATTGTTTGCGTCCCAAGCCAGAAGTGTCGTCGCACAAGTTGTGCAGGGAGGTGCTTGGAGTCGCGGAATCCCTTTTTGGGAGACCTGATTTTTGGGGTTCCATGTCAATTTGCGCGGGGTACCCGGAAAATCTGGGCTACCTCATAGAAACCACTCCCTCGGGCCGATAAGTTTTTTTCTTGCTGCAGCAGAAAGGTGGCAAGAGTTTGGAGGGAAGTTGATATACTACACAAAGTCCATCCGCAATTCAAATTCAGATGATATGAATTAGTTCTGTGTTTATGTACTTTCGGAGGTTGCTCACCTGCAAACAACTGGATCTTTGTTGCAGCCACTGGCTGCACACAATTTAACTCGCTGGCTGCCTGTGACTCAGCGAGCTTGTCCTTCAGCCCCTCGGGGCCTGAGGCACTGTTTTTGTGTGACAGCTTATGTGGCCATGGGTCAAAATCCCAAGCCCGTACGCCCAGTGAACATCCCAATCCAAGCACTAATATAGGTTCTAAAACGGGTGGTGAATTCACCTACCATTTCCAAAATGGGATCCCATTGGTTTTGACCACCACAGCTCTTTGTTTTGCTTCTCGGCTTCGAGCTTGGAAGGCTCGATACGGAAAACAAAAAGCAAATGACAGCCGCGCGAGCGAGCTCCGATGCGGATGACTTCTCGGGGTCCCGAGATGGGAGAGGGGGGGTGGTCACTCTCTCGCCCGGTTTCTGGTGTCGTTTGGGGCTTGCATGCTTCCAATTCTCCAGACATGTGCCCGTTTTTCACCCCGTTCTAGCTTCTTGGCTCACGAGGAAATAACCGAAGATCGAGGACACCCCGCACCCAACCCAGAACCAACTTTGAGGGAATCAAAGTCTGAAAAGCCTCCGCCGCGTGATGCAATGTGGCGAAACTACGCGGGCTCAGGCAATCGGGTGAGCGGGCGCCAATCGTTTTTTGCTTGGCGGCAATGCTTGAGAAGGGGTGTGCGACTGGAAGAATGGGACACCAAAATGGGTGTCTTCCTTTTGGTGCCCGTTGAAATGAAATCAACGCAGCCCTGAAGAAGTTCCAACAGTCCAACAGAGCCATTGGCTTCAGAAGTTGTTTTGGGCTGAGGATCAACCCTAAGTAAGTCTTGCGGGAGCCGACCTTCAGGAGCAAATTGGACCTCACCCACCAAGTGTGTGTGTGTGTTTACATATGTATATATATATACATATGTTGTGTGTTACCCCGTCTTTCTTCGCTTCTGGTTTATTTCGCACGAGTCCATGGAAGCAAGATTGGTGGCAATGCGGCCCCTCTTTATGGAAGTGTGGGCCTTTATAGTAGAGGTCAAAGCTCATCGTCACCTTTTCAAGTTTGGTGTTTCGGCGTGCCTGCGAGTTGGGGCAAGTTTGGGCGCCACCGGTTCTCGTGTAGAAGGGGCTAAATAGTAACTTGGAACCCGACAGAAACGAAAATTGTCTTCCAGAACCCTCAGGTTCCACGTTACTAGCTGGGAGAGTATGAGAATAAGTTCCGGGGATTTCTTGGGTGTTTGAATGGTAGCCAGCTATGAAGCAGTTTTGACAACGCCCCCCCCCTTCCCACGAAATCGGCTCAAGACATCGCAACCACATGAATGGTGTCAGCGCACTCAAGTTTGCTTCAAACCTAAGTGGACCTTGCAGGTACCAAACCAATCAGTAGGGTGCCAAAGGTGCCTTTGTCATTGTCATGTTTGTCCAGAAGGGGGGATGCGCATTTAAGCTTTTGCTCAGGAACCATCGGGTTTTGCCTGAGGTCTATATACGTACGTGTATATATACATATAAACCTTTGCCCAAGAGATCGGCCAAAAGTCGGCAGCATTGAAACACACGGAAGCAAATTCTGAAAGTGCCGGACAGCATTGAAACAGTTGTTTTTGCATTGTTCTGAAGGTGGGACTTGGCTACTGCGCTGCGCGGTGTGACTTTTATCCTCACAAGTTTGCCCAAAATTGCCGGCTTCCCGTTAATCAGCAAAGTTTAACTTCTGCAGAGTGGGCCAGCTGTTCGTCGCTTTTCGTATTGCTTGGGTTTGGCATGCCCGCATGGGAAGAAATGTTAGGAAGGGGGGAATGCTCCCAATAAAGTGGCCCTTCCCCAGTGATGTTTCAGCGCTTTTCGGGTGGGTACCAGCATGTTCCAACGACTGTTTTGCGCGTTTTGCACATGGGAACATGCAGTTGCTGCAGCGGGCTGGGATGGCAGGATCCACGACGGCACTGACGGCAAATGCGGCGAAGTGGGCGGCAGCGACAAGGCTGAGGGACATGATGAAACCCCGTTCATACCCCTAGCATCCTCCACTTATGACGGGGCACGGGGACGCGTCCGGCTTTTTCATACGGAGTCTTCATGAACACGAGGTGTGCCCCTACGCCACTCTGAAGGCCCCAATCATACACCACCGCTTTGTAGTTGGGGCTTGCCTGTTGGTGGTTAGCGACCCGAGGCATCAAGGCCAAAGCCGAACTTGCACTGCGAACACGCTGCCCCAACAGCATCGCTTGGTGACGCGTTCGGACAATTCACTGTAGTCACATGTGTTCAACATGTTGGCCGCAAATGCTCGGCATCCAACGGCGAAAGTACCCGTTCATATGTTCATGGCCAGCTTTCGTTTTCTGCACTGTGCAGGACCCCTATGAATGTAGGAGGTTGTATCCCTTTGTCGCGAGGTATGCCATCTCTCTTCGGTGAACGCAAACGTGGATTCTTTACAGATCCCTCCAGCCGAAAGGGGCACATTGCAGGCATTTATGTATCAACAGTATTCAACTGCATTGCCCTGTCTCATGAGGCAGTGAAGGCGGATTGTTGCTGTACCAAGCTTGAAGGCACCAACAACTAAGGGAAAACACATAGTTGTTCACCCAGAGCTTTCGTTGCTCCCTCACTTCCGGGTAGCAGGACCTTTGCTTGCAAGCACCAGCTGGCTGGTCCTCCCATGCGGGGACCCTCACTTGCGTTTTGCTCATGGACTTGAAACTTTTTGGGAAGACCATTTTAGTGGCAAACAAGGAGTCTGGACTTGTTTTGGCCAGGCTGAACTGCCTCCCAAGGTTCCAAGGCGACCTGGTACATTGGTTTAATCAAGAGGCGTGCATGTCAGGCTTCCATTTGTGGCAGCCGTGTTGCGCGGATGGCGCTTGAGGACCTTCAACCCAACCCTCTTTTGCCCTGCTTGGGGGTCTTATGTTTAGAAGGCATCCAAAACTTCCAGTCTTCCCCAATATCGTCCGGTCTTTCCCTATCCCCCGACTGACGATGGCTTGGTTGCATTTTGGTTGGATCGTCAAACTTTAGCCACTTACCAGCAACAATACGGACAATTTGAGCAGGTGATGGTCATGGTGGATCTGTTTTAAGAATTGGGAGCGCCGTGGTCAAGCTTGAAGCGGCATGGGAATCAGTCATGGTTCGTACGTTTTCCGGTTGGTGGGTTCCCGACTCAACGTATCATCCCCCATTCAAAATGCAACCAACCTCCAAAAAGAACTGATTCTTTCTTGTCTATCCCAGCCAACACCCTCCCCCCCAGCCGCTGTTGTGTCTTTCTATCAGGATCACCGGTGGCCACAGTTGTGCCAACCCCCTTTTAGATTTTTTAACGCGTGTTCTTGAAACAGCCTCCTTTCGGTTCCGCTTTTCTCCCTGCGGCTTCTTTCAAGTCTGCCCTTTGCAGCTGCATCCTTGTGAGCCTTCCTTTGGGCGGTTGACTGTCCCATCGGAGGCCCGTGATCCGCCCTGCGGCCCTCGGGGCCTATGCCAATGCCCATGCCGGAAACTGCGCCGGCGTGCCGCGGAACATTCGGCCCCTGCGGCCCCTGCGACCCCTGCGGCCGGCGCAGCTTGCGCAGCCCGGGCTGCAGACGCCCGCGAGGCCTGTGGTTTCTGGCCGGTTGTCCAGGAAAGGAAGCAAGCCAAGACCAGATGGTCGTGGCTTCGTGTGCTTGGCATATTTATACGTTATAGCCCACCGTGGTTGTCAGTTCCCTGACTGAATCACCAGTAGAGCCTCCGAAGCCGGTTTGCGGCTATAGTTATCCTAATTGTTCTTTCTTTCTCTGTTTCCGCTTTTTATTTTATATGCTCGTTCTCTTCTCGTTCCTTCCGTGCCTCTTTATCTTTGTATTTCTCTTTACCTTTATCTTATCGATCCTTTGTATGTCACGTTTGGTTTATCGTCTTTTTCCTTTTCTCGGTTCGTTGGTCTTTATCTTATGTCAATGTATTTTGTGTTTGTTGTTATTTATCTTATGTCAATGTATTTGTGTTTGTTGTTCTGCATCGTTGTCTTTCCATTTATCTTGCTTCTGTAAATCTATTATGTGTATTGTTATGGTGCATTATCGTATCTTTCCTTCTATGTGTAGTGTTCTTGTTGCCTTTATCTTGTTCGATATGTCTATCTATCTGTCTAATCTATCTAATCTATCTATCCATCTAGCTATCTATCTATTTATCCATCTATCCGTATGTATTTAGCGAACTATCTATCTACCTATCGTTTCCGAACCTAATTGAATCGATTTATCTATGTGTATCTATCTAAATATATATATATTTATCTATCAATCTATCTTATCTATCTTATCTATCTTATCTTATCTATCGTATCTATCTTATATATCTGTATAATCTATCTATCTATCTATCTATCTATCTATCTACCTATCTATATCCATCAATCTAACCAATCTAACCAATCTATCTATTTAATATATTTGTCTATCTATCTATATATTGATCTATTTATCTATTTATCCATCTAGTCTATCTATCTATCTATCTAATCTAATCTAATCTAATCTAGTCTAATCTAACCTAATCTAATCTATCTATCTATATCTATCTGTCTGTTTGTCTGTCTATCTAATCTATCTATCTATCTATCTAATCTAATCTAATCTAATCTAATCTATCTACGTCTACTGGCTGCCCTTTTTTTGATGATTGGTGCGTGTTTATTTGTACCTGCCAAAACTGCCGCGCATTTGCAGAATGCCTTGTGTGGACATGAGCCACAAGTGGACTCTGCTAGGATGTTTGGTATATCATGGTAGTTGTAGCCAGCAATTTCTGACATGCTTGAATCAGGCTAGTGGGAATTACGGTCAGCTCCCACTTCTGTCATGCCAGGGAGCCTCCTCCAAAACATGTAGGGTGAGTCTTCTGAATGAAAGCCCCTCAGTGGATCAGGAGACAACCTGTGTATGAACAAGCATTTGGAACATTGAACCTATACGTCAATGGCCCAACAAGATTACTCACATCTCTTGAGCCGCCGAATCTGTGATTCTGAGAAGCGACACGGACCCTGAACGAACTATTTTGAACCTTTTGCATGAGCTCGAGGTTTTGGTGTAATGAGCCATGAGCTGTGGCTAAGAGAATTGGAGAAACCAGGCTTCAAAAAAGTGGCCAAAGAATAGGGATTCGGGACATGCTCCAGTTCTTTGGCACTTGGACTGCAGCGCAAGCCGCTCCTTTGCGATTGCTGGCCATGTTCATGCTGACCAGGGGCAAGCCAGCTGAGACGCCCGGGGATCGTTGCCTCAATGGATGGCATGAGTGGGGGAACAGAGAAATGGGCGGATTGCGTTTTCCATCAGTTGACAGAGATTCAACTTGCAATCGCACCTTTTGATTTTCTTTTGAGGCTCCCACTGAGCGGGAAAGCGTGATACTTCCGATGCGAGACCCTGAGCCTCGCAACCGCCCAGCCAGAGGCAGAAGAATGTAGAAAGCATACGTAGGCATGACTTGGTTTGCCAAATGGCACGTGATCCCCGGCCGATGTTTTTTGAAAAAAACACATTGCACTCAATTTCTTTGACTCACTTGGGCCAGAAACCATGGTAATGTTGACACCATATTAGTTAATTCCAGTTTATTAAAAGGGAGGGTCCCCTCCAACAGTGGTCTGATTCCCCACATTTCACCCAGGGACAAGCACCCCCCTGGTCATAAACTGGGGTTGATGAATATGGGGTCAACATACTTCCCATGGCAAAACCGGGTGATGTCCAAATGCCAGGGCCCAGCCTGCACCTCAATGGTCGGAAGCTGCTCATCCTGTGCGAGCCTCAGGAAAAAGGGGCCTGGATCAGAGACGGTGCCCTTCCTTTTTTTTGTTTGTGTGTTTTTTGGCTGTTTTGTGTTGGTTGTTCCTCTTCTTTTTTTTGTGGGAGGGGGGGAGAGGGGGGAGAGGGGACGGGGTTTCCCTTTAAAGTCAACTGCCTCAAAAAAGGAACACCCTTTGCTTCAGCACCTTGCTGTTTTGGTCCAACATGGTTCCCATAGCCCCGCGTGCCCACATATGATCACATATGCCGTGGCAGGATGTGTTGAATTTGTTTGGTGGGTTCAGCAATTCAGCGGGCCCGACTTGTAGACAGCCTTTTCAGAATGGTTGCTGGCTTTTGCCGCTGGGGTGTTTGCAGGGTTCCCTTATTTATATTTCCCTCCTCCAGCTGGGCCAGTTGAGAATTTTGACTGCCTTTGGAGAGCCAAACGCGTTGGTTCTTTCCACAGAAAGGGTTGCTCTGATTTTTCTACAAGGGTCTTTGATTGCAACTGGTGGCTTTGATGGCATTCATCCTCACACTCAACTCTGTCTGCCCCCATGGCCCTTTTTGATGTTTGCCGCCACTTTCCCTTTTGACCACATCCGAATTTGCAAAGGCCCAGCCCCAAAGGGGGTTCGTGTCACTGAGGCCGAGGCTGAGGTGTGGCCGCAGGAGCCTGCGCTGGAGCAGCCCACTTGGCAGGAGCCAGAGCTCAGGGCTATTTTTTTGTGGAGTTTTGACTGGGGAAGAACTTTTGACTCCTTTATTCTTGGGGGGGAGAAATATGGTGGACACAGGGTTTTGTTTGTTTTAGTTCTTGCAATCTAATTCTTGTTCAGGGTGTTGTGTTTTGGGGTTGATTCTGCGTACAGATGCCTCCCAGTGTCCTTGCAGGCGGGGGGGGGGGGTGGGACGGGCTTCCACACTAGCTGATTTTAGTTCGATTGGCAGGCCAAAAGGGGACCGTGCCACTCACTGCGCTTTGCCCGGACGTGGGTGCATTTTGGTGGATACCCTGATCACTGGCCAACAGGTGCCTTCGGAAGACCGAGAGTGCGTCTTTTAGGATGCCCTGAGGGTTGGTTGAACGGGAAACTAGCAGGAAAACCACAAGTTTAAGATAAAGAAATCGGGCATTGAAACCAACCCACGAAACTAGCTCGAACCTTAGGGTTCCAAACGGTCGGCAGCGCAGGAGCTCCCAGCGTACCTCCAGCCAGACAGCCAGGCAGTGCCTGCCCTTCCGCCAGGGACCCATGGGACCCATGGGTCAACGTCGCCAAATGGGCCGGACGTCTCCGGCCACAAAAGAAACACGACCCCTATCAACCATCCCTTGTGACTTCCTTTCGGAATCCGTGAGCTCATTCCCAGCTGCGCCCCGGCGAGAGGCTGTGCTGCAAGGGTACCCCTGAACCAGCCCTGCAAGGGTACACTCAAAGCCAATTTCCCCTCAAAACTATCCCAAGAGAGGACCGCCATTTAGAGCCTCCCCCCCCAATCAGCTCTTGAGGTTGGTCTCCGATTCTTGGCGGTTCAGCCGATGTTTTTTTTAGTTTTGGACTTTGGATGTTGGAGGTTGGCACGTCCTAAAGGTGGAACTTCTTGCGAGGATCAACGAACCAGGAAGCTCTCTGTTCACACATTCTTGTCAGAAACCACTCGAATCCCGTTGGTTTTTGAGCATGAAAAGCAGGGTTCCTGGAAAGAATGGGCTGGAGGTACAGCTCGAGGAGCCCCATTCCGCTGCGGGCAGCGTGCTTTTTTGCAAAGCTCGCCAATTTGAAAGCAACGAACAATGTTTGCCGCTGGAACCCCACGTCGACCAAGGACTGGCAGCGTCACCCAAGTCGCCACGCATGCAGTGGGCACGAAGGGCCCCACAGCCCGCAGGGCGGCGCCAGTGCCGGCGCCGAAGCCAGTGCCGGCGCCGACGCCCGTGGCGGTGCCGACGCCCGCGCCAGCACTGATGCCCATGCCGGTGCCGCCGCCCGTGCCAACGCCGCCGCCCGTTCCGGCGCCGCCGCCCGTGCCAGCGCTGCCGTTGCAGGCGCTGGAGCCGCACGAGGCACTGGAGCCGCGCTCAGGAACTCGCGCAGTGGCTAGGGGTATATGGTAGACTTCTCTCTTGCGGCAACAGTTGGATCCTTAGGAAATCCTGCGTTTGTGGGTCTGTTTGTGTTAAAGACATTCTCCCCTCTTTGAGGGGCTGGCTTCCACTCCCGCAGTTGCACGGGAGCCGTCAGCTCGAGTTTTCTGGTGGAGTGAAGCTCCAGATAGACCAAAATTCCTGATACTAGTGGTGTTTTCAGTTCCTCGCTTGAATCTCGGTGCGGATGATGCAAGTGACGCCGGGCATCCCCGGCGTCACCGATAATTAACATCTCCGCAAAGCATTCTACTAGGGTTAATTCCCCATTCTTTCCTCACACGCGCACTCAGTGCAATGATCGCTCTTTCCAGCCGGATCGGTTTTGCCCTGAACTGCCAGGTGGAACGTGGTATGATCGTGGTCTATGAGGGGGGCAAGCGCGCGTGGGTGGACAACTGCGACTCTCAGTCGGACGAGTTCTGGCTTTGTGACGAGCGCCTCGGCCATGCCAGAAACCTGCGGATGACAAACGCAGCAGCCAGAGTGTTGAGCCCGCTTTTCGTTGGTCTAACAGTTGCGGCCGGTATTACGTTAAAGCTTGGGCAGATCAGTCGATGGCATACCTCGTGTGGCTTCCTAGTCATTGGCCATCGCTTTTAGGGTTCATGTCCAACCTGCTGAAATGTAGGAGGCGGACGTTCAAGTCGAGAATGTTTGGACCAAAGTTCACTTTTCCTATTGTCTGCTTGCTTCTTAGATTCTTGCACTACGATGCCGCAGTGAGATGTTTCCGTGATGCAGTGGTTTTTGTTCTGCATGGAGGGTGCAGGCGTTGATTCTTGTCATATATTTTTAAAGGGGTCCCACCAAATTCACCCCCCCAAATGCACAATTTTCATGTGATTCAGGGGGTTACACAGGCTCTTCCTACTTTACCTTTATTTAAGCTTACTACAGCATATTAAAGTTTATTCAAGTTTATTAAAGCTTATTAAAGCCGATGTCCTTGCTATTTTTGCAAGACGTATTAAACTTTAGTAAGGGCAACATAGTAGCAACATAAGGCCTGAGATTCAGGCCGTCATAGCCTTTGTTCCCTTGCCCTGAGTTCCATTGGAGATGATGCCAGAACTGAGCCCACTCAAGGTCAGCGGCCATTTTGGGGTAGTGTTTGAACTGTCTGGCTTTGCTGGGGCTGAGTCACTTACCTGCCGATGGTCTTCTTCGTGCGTGCGCTGTCGGGAATGCTGCGCAGCTGGCTAGATACCGGGACATACGTGCTTTGACATGCTAGTGCCAGCTATTTAGTTGCTGTTAAAGGCTTATTTTGGGCTTATTAAAGCTTATGTTGTGTTTATTTTGCGCTTATGTTGCGCTTGTTGTGCTTGTGTTGTGCTTATGTTGCGCTTATGTTGCGCTTATTTTTGCGCTGATGTTGCGCGTGTTTGAAGCGCCCCGTGCATTTCCTGCTCCTGTGCACTCTCCCGCCAGCCTTGCTGATTCTGGTGCCGGTGCTGCTGTTGTCATTGTTGGCCTGGTTCTTGTAGTTGTTGCTGCTGCTTTTGCTGAACCTATGCAATTGCGTGCGCGTGTCTGACAACTCCTCCCGCTATTTTGGGTTTTTCTAAATACGGGGATTTGGGGGGGGTGGATTCGGGGGGACCCATTTAAAAGACTATGATCTTGAAATCCTGGAGGTCCGAGCTTTAGATATTTTCGATGTTGCGATGTTTGCCACGCCCCAGGGACAGCAACATGACCATCTTCGCGGTGAGGGAGGATGGTCAGGAGCGGCTGGAGAAAGTGGCGCTTCAAGGCCCCCACTACGCCCACATCGAAGAAGCAACAGGGGTTCGCCCTTGGCTTCGGGAGGCTACCCCCGAACAGGGTTGTTCAGAGGGAAAACCACCGTTTGTTGGCGGTTGCCTGTTTTTGGGACAGCACGAAGGATGGATAGGACACGGTTGCTTTGCAGATTTGTGCGGCGGATTTGTGTGCATTCCCCACGGCAGATGGACTCACACAGGAGGCATCCCAATGCTTGAAATGCGTCCAACATTTGCGGGGTGAGTTTGGGTGCATACGCGTATATGGTGGCATTTGTCTTGGAACGGGTACCCTTTTGGGGCTCTCGGTCTGTTCGCCTCGATCTTGGGTTCTTAGTTAGACACATATTTGCTCCTTATTCGCATCTTATCTACCCTTCGAGGTTTCACCGAAACAGGTTTTATAGCTATTTGGTTGGATCTTTGGACTCAATGTTTTTTGGGGGAAGCACTGGATTTTCCAATGGCCCCACAAAAAGTGAACAAGTGCCGGCAGAGGGGCCGACTGCAACCAAACACCAACTGTGGCGTTGAGTAGTTTGATGAACACACAGACAGAAGGCCTTTGATTGAAATCGACATACAGCACACCATTTGCATCTACACTTCTCCTCTGGCGTTGCGCTGTTAATTCAAGAGCTGCCGGGGATAAAACTCCCAGGAGGAGAACGTGAGGGCCTTCTCTGCCAGCGAGCTGCGCTTCACAGGCACTCTGGAAGCCACCATTCACGTGCTGCCTGGGGTCCAACCCCATGATATTCCCTAACTGGGGGTGCAAAGCTGTAAACAAAGAAAGAGAGATATGTAGATAAACAATATATAGATATATATATAGATATATATATATATATGAATACGTATACACAAATACATGCACACACACATATATATATATATATATATAAATATATACATACACATGCGTGGATATGTAATTGCGGCATGTATTAAGGCAATCATTCCTAATCAATTGCCTTGAGTCAAGAAGTGACAGACGGGTGCACGAACGGGGGGTCCTGACTGGACTGTTTCGTGTTTGCTCCGCAGTGAGAGGCACAGCAAGTCCTGAGCAGACTCGGGCGGCTTTGTAGTGGCTTGGGTCTCAATAAGATCACTAGCATTCTTGCTAGAAGGCTGCCTGATTCGTAACTGGAAGGGTTGCTGACTAAGGGAGGGTTTGAAACTTGGTTGCTCCCCGAACGAAAGCGCGGCCTCTTTTTTGGCAAGACCAACCTGCCCAAGAGGAAGTTCGGTTGTTTTAGAATCCCCCCCTTGAATTCGGGACACCCCTCCAGCCAAGCGCAACTCAGCGATGCCACGCCTGCTCTAACCCAAGGCTTGGGCGCCAGTTCCATTTCGGTTCTGCGAGCGGTCGGCTGGCGAAGGACCAGTTACCTGCGGGGTCCTTTGGGGTTGGCAAATGATGGTAGATGATGCGCCATGCGGTTCGCCCTGTTGGGAGCCTCAAGAGCCATCACCTCGGACTTTTCAGACACGCAGCAATTCGTTTCATGCGCCGCAAGCACAGTGGCCCCAACTTGCGGACAGTCTCATCTCGAAGCTGCGCCGGCGCTTCTTGGCTGAGGCCTTGTTGCTGTGTTGGTGGTTGAGCAACATCTTCATAGCTGAACCGAAGACTTGGATCTATTTGATTGTGGGTTTACGGTTGAAGACTGACCAAGGTTCAGCCTTTTGCCTTTTGCGTTTTGTTGGCTTTCTTGGGGACCCCACGTTGAGGGGCAACCCGGGAAAACAAAGCTGGTTTCGGCAGGCGAATGGTCTCCCATTCTCAAAATCTCCAAGGAGGCTCCGAGCGGATGGCTTTTGGACTGGAGGTCTGGGTTCTTCCTTCCCCTCATGTTTGGGGGGGGGGGCAGATTTAGAAAGGACAGGGAAGCAACCCCCCGAACCTGCAACAGCTGGATTTGACATTCGGCGGGGTTCGTCTTCCCTCCACACCACCTTTTTTTTTTCCCCCAGTTGTTCGGCTAAACATCAGCATGCGTTTTGCCCATGCGTGGGTTGCCCTACGCCCAGCAAAGAATTAATGGTCATGTCCAATTTTGCAACCAACCGAACCTGTTTGACCAAACATGACCAGCCCCGAATGCAAGCGCACCCCCTTGCAGTGCCTGTTTTGGGTTGGGTGAAGGGCAAGAAGACACCTGCGCATCAAACACCCCAGCCCCATGGGCCTGAGCCAGCCTAATGTGTCGCTTTGCCCACCTTTTGGTTACCATCATTTTCCCATTTACATCGTGCTGTTTTGCAAAGGATGCACTGGGAAGAGCATATTTTCCAAGTTCCTCCTTCAAAGGCCACGGACACTTACGTTGTCTCCACAGCTGGTACCATGTCCTGCCCAGGTTCGGATGTGGGCACATGTGAATCAGGTAGTTCATCCGGACTCCCGGTGGGTCACTTTGGCTCAAACTTGAAACAACTTCTCCAAGCCAAGATGTGATTCACTGGCGGTGGACGGGATCTATTTGAAGACCCCATTGACAAGAACTGCCAGTTAGACCTATTTGTGGCAGTGCAGGGTTTGCCCATCCGCAGTGTAGATAGGCAATATTGATCCCGGTTTACGGATCTCCTCTTCTGGGGGGGGATGTCAATTGATGCCGGTCAACATGAATCCCCCTGGTGTGTGTGTGTGTGTCCGTGTGCACCTGGGGGGGATTCCACATGAATACGGCAAAGCAAGAACTGGTGCCGATCGGTATGGATTTCGGGGCCCAACCGGCCCATCGGATGGCAGGTCATCGTGACCAATGAGATCCTGGCCAAGCTAGGGGAGATGAACAGCTGGGAGGCCGATTTGGAAGAGGAGCCGGTTGCCTCAGTCCGAAAATTCGTCCGCCTCAACGAAACTCCGATGGACAAACGTAGTGGCAGAATTCTTCCGCTTGAGTCAAGCCCCCTTTAATTCAAGAGAAAAGGATTTGGGCCATCTGAATCATGAATTAAAAGTTCTGTTTTATAAGTTAGGCACAAGTTAGTAAAAATAATTGTAAGTGAAGCTACAAGTTATGAGTTGTACGCTGCAGGGCTAGATTGTAGGCAATAAGTACTAGCGGCTATAGCCGACAAGGCTACAAGCAAGCGGCTGTGAGTCTTGCAAGCCGTACAAGTTCCAACCACTTCTCTCTCGCGGGAAAATTGAAGTATGCACTCCATCAAGGTAATGTGTTCCCTTGGATGCAGTCATTTGGGGGGATATGGAAAATGTTAAAGCATAACAGCCGATGCCGATGTGCCTTACTCGTGTCACATATACAGGGAACCAAACGAAGCTCTTCTGAAATGACGGTGATTGGGTCTCCATGTTCACCTGCAGGGGAGCAAACTGTTAGTACAAACGGCTACCCCACCCCACATATTCGCAAGCGAGATCGAAGTTTCCCCGAAGAGTGACCTCGACCCCAACCCATGTTCGTCCTGGGTGAAACAGTGTCTCTCACGGCATTTGGTCTGTGAACATGTTTGTGTTGAATGGTTGGCGACATATGCGCCTCAAATAAGCAAATGAGTCTTGAGTTTGGTAGCAGGCCGAGCCAATCCAGGCGGTCATTTGGGCTCTGTGGGAGCGAGGCCCTGCAGCATCTCGCAGCATGTTTGGGGTTGTTCCAGTGTTCCAGCCTGACATTTGGTTACCCAGAATTGGCGATATGGGCAAGGCCCAAGCAGGTTTTGAAGCCAAATTGGAGGTCATTCCTATGTCAGCAGCCCACCAATGCGAGACTTCATTTTCCCAGGCAAGGCACACATGTTTCTCCCGACCTAAGGACAGGATGCCCTGTCATGATCGACAAGCTGTCTTCCAAGGCAGGTGCTGCGAGCATCAAATATGGCTTGTTCAAAATCAGTCCTTACTCCTTGTGCCAGGCGAATTGACTTATTTTCCCATGCAAGGAGGAACCACGGGAACCACCTACCTGGGTGCAGGGGCAGATGGTTGTGGTTTTCTTCGTTGTCCTGTGGGTGGCGGGTTAGGAGTAGGGATCTATCCCATTTTGAAGAAGCTAGACATCAGAGTCCTCAGCAGTTTCCTTGGGGAGCCCCATAAGCCTGGGCAAGTAAAGGTAAGTGATGATCCTAGCCTGAAATAGAAGCAGCCACCGTGTTGATTCCTTGTATGGTCTTTAGGAAATTCCGGGCATTGAGTATGGGCTCAAGGGTTGGGCTGATGCATGTTGATGTTGAACCCAAGGCAAACGCACGTAGAATTAGAGAGTGTCAAATTTCTTGCAAGTTGTTTGTGGTAGTCCTTGTGAGGATCTGTGGTTGCTACAATGGGGCAATGGTCAGGGAATCATTGGTACCATAAGGTACCCGAGATTAGCTTTTTATCTCATGAACTTCCTTGGCATTTGCTCAAAG